TCGCAAAACTGTCTAAGCATAGAAAGGATGAACACCCATCACTGCCTTCACATTCGGCATAAACCAATTCGTACATTCGACTTGGAGTTAAACTAGGTCTGTTGTACCCACTGATTCCAGGCACCGTCTTTCCATTCCTAAGTTTAACATTAGTAGGGAAATCTTTATCAATAGTTCTAGCATCGACAGTTGTGACCCCTAGAGCAACATTGGTCATCGTTAGTCCACTAGGACCGTCGTTCTTGACAGAAGTAGATACAAAAATCCCTCGATCATTTGCACCAAAAGCGCTAATTGCAATCGCGTCAAGATAATACAGCATGACAACACCACCCACGCCAAGTGAAATAACATCGACTCTGTCGGCAACGACGGCATCAAACGTTGCCAGAATATCAGAATCATAGTAACTTGAATTCCAACACACCTTATAAGCAGCAAGTCTCGCTTTCAATGCCATACCTGCAACTACCCCTTTAGCATACCTAATGTGGAAGCAAGAAATATGTACCTCCCAATGACGATTGATGTTGTGTGAGTCCTGTGCCCATCTAAATCACGTAGGGACTTGTACTCCGACATCTCATTCATCTTCCCATTTGTCGCCTTGTACCCATTGCAAAAGAATATCACTCCAATCAGCTTCCTATTACACGAATTCAACCCAAAATCCTTCATCTTCACACATTGCCCTTTCCATTTCATAGGAACTGGACCCAAATCCCGGTCATTAAAACACAATCGCTTCGACCATATCCCCTTATCAATGACCCCAATCACAAGATCAAACCCAAAATTTGGATTCTTTCAGCAACCCAGCATTGTTAGTTTTCTTCAGACCCATAAACTTAGGTGATCTAGTTGTATGCAACCGTTAAGGGGCTTAGTTAACCGAAAAATGGATATCAACTGCCATGCAAGCCAATTAACAAACGACGTTAAGGGGCTTAGTTAACGGAGGGGCTGATTTGCTTCAGACAGGGAGTTGGAGGGCTTATTTGCATCATTTTTAGTTTAGGGGCTTATCACTTGTTGTCGAAAAAGCTGAGGCGCTTAAGAAGGGTTTTTGCCATTATTTTTTTGTAACCGTGCGTAATATATCCCATTCCTAAAAAATAGGGGCAATCCTACAAGGCTGTCCTCTAGATATCATCTGTTGGCCGGGGGCCTTCGTCCTTGGACAACAACAATAAATTCCCAAGAGGGAAAAACCACAGTTTCATTTTCATCCAAGCAGTGATAGGATAGGAGTTATTATGATCCATGCCAGGTCCTCGTCCTTACCCAATTCGCCACGTGTATGGCTCTGATTCTGGCACCTCCTTTTCATTCTCAATGTTATGCTAATCGTACGGCACTGATTGTGTGTTTATCTTCAGTCCCTCCAGTCGGTTGCTCACCTTCTTTTTTATCTTATTGACTTGACTCCTACCCTTTTGCTTATAAAAGCGGCAAAAGCTAACTACTCTCTCTCTACTTCAACAAAGCTCAAACCTTTTTTCAATTTTTCCCCTCAAGCTTCTACCCAATCCAAACAAGGAAGAGATCTCTCGAACTTGAACTCAAAGTAAGGAATTCTTGGAATAAGGCATAACTTTTGGTTTCCCATTATTGTTTAGGAAGTTTCATGAATTTTGCTGAAGGTAACGTTACAAGATATATGGGTTTTCTTTGTTTTGTTTAATGGAGTGTGAGTTATGCTTAGTTTCAAGCCATCTCTGAGCTGGGTTATAGTTGCTAAATCAGGTATTTAAAGCTCCTGGAATGGGGTTTTAGGATTTAAAGTTTTGCTCTTTTGTTGGTTTTAGTATGCAAAATCTCAGCTTTAATGCGTGTTTTTGTGGACTTTAATGTCTCTATTTCATTGGGATTGTGTTTGAGTTGAATAATGTGGCTTTTGTAATTGAGGAGAAAGATTTTGTTTTGTCCTGTTGTGTAGTGATTGAGTGGGAGATTAATGTCGGTGATAATTTTCAGGGAAATTTGATCTTACTGGTAAAGGAGAAAAATCCCATTTGCGTTGAATGTGGGGACATGGCTCAAGAGGGGAAGGGAAGGGTACTTTTAAGTAAACTCTATTCATTTGCGTGTTTCCGGTGCACCGCTGGAGAGGAACATGCCCGGATTGGGCAAAAAGGTTATTCAAGAGTGGTGTATTGCAATGACCCTGATAACCCAGAAGCAATTCGGCTTAAATATAGGGGAAATTATGTGTCTACTACTAAGTATACCCTTGCTAATTTTATTCCAAAGTCTTTGTTTGAGCAGTTTAGGAGGGTTGCAAATATATACTTCCTTGTTGTAGCTTTTGTATCATTTAGCCCATTGGCGCCTTATTCAGCACCTAGTGTTCTTTTACCTCTAATAATAGTGATTGGAGCAACCATGGCCAAGGAAGGTGTGGAAGATTGGAGGCGAAGGAAGCAGGTAATACTCAAATTCTATTGTTCAATGGTTTTCTTCTGGGACTTTCAGCAGTTAGTTTAGTTTTTCTTTCTGTAAAATTGTTAAGAACAAGTTCCTGATTAGAAATAGCTGTGAAGAGCCTGCCTGTCGTCAGCATGGTGTCCTGGTAAATTATTTTTTGTATTTTACCGGTTTTGCCAATACATTCTTCATCTTGACTATATTTAACAAGGTGTCTGATAAAGCGAATGATCCATATAGTGTAGTTATTGCGTCAGTTTTCCAACATGTGAATGAAATATGAGGTTCTTTGATTCCCTCGTAATAATGTTATATTGGTGGTTTCTAAAAGAATATAATTCAGCGTCAGTTTTTGTCCTTTTGAACCCTGTCATAGAGGACTTTTAGACTGTATGCAGACTGAAATACTGTCTCTAAGATTTATCTGCATTCTTTTCCTTAAGCAAGCCAACCCTTTTTATTTAATGTCATCTTACCTCATGGGGCATATTTTCTTTCTAATGAAATTCCATTTGAATTTAGACATGTATGTGAGGTTCTTTTAAATGGTTTCAGGACATAGAGGCGAATAATCGGGAGGTTCAAGTGTATGATAGAAATCATTCATTCAGAGAGAGTAAATGGAAGAATCTCAGAGTTGGTGACCTTGTTAAGGTGCAAAAGAATGAATATTTTCCTGCTGATATGCTTTTGCTTTCTTCAAGCTATGAGGATGGTGTTTGTTACGTTGACACTATGAACCTTGATGGAGAGACTAATTTAAAGTTGAAGCATGCATTGGAGGTGACAGCACCCTTGAAAGATGAAGAGTCCTTTAAGAAATTTAGAGCAGAGATAAAGTGTGAGGACCCAAATGAGCATCTTTATTCTTTTGTGGGAACATTGTACCTTGATGGCAACCAATATTCGCTCTGCCTACAACGGATCCTTTTGAGAGATTCTAAGCTGAAAAACACTGATTATATCTACGGAGTGGTTATTTTCACTGGACATGATACAAAAGTGATGCAGAATGCTACTGATCCACCTTCTAAGAGGACTAAGATTGAGAGGAGGATGGATAAGATTATATATGTTCTTTTCAGTACTCTGATTACAATATCTTTCACTGGATCTCTATTTTTTGGAATTCAAACTAAGAGAGATATTAGTGGCCAGAAGTACAGACGGTGGTATCTTCGGCCAGATGATGCAACTGTATTCTTTGATCCCAGAAGAGCAGCACTTGCTGCTTTTTTTCATTTCTTGACAGGCCTCATGTTGTATGGATACTTGATTCCAATATCCTTATATGTGTCAATTGAGATTGTCAAGGTTTTACAGAGCATTTTCATTAACCAAGACCAAGAGATGTATTATGAGGAAACTGACAAGCCTGCACATGCACGGACATCTAATTTGAATGAGGAACTGGGTCAGGTTGCTGCCATACTTTCAGACAAAACAGGCACTTTAACATGCAACTCTATGGAGTTTGTCAAATGTTCGATAGCAGGCACTGCTTATGGACTCGGTATGACAGAAGTGGAGATAGCCCTGGCAAAAAGAAGAGGTAAATTGCCGCTTGTCATTGATGGTTCTTCATGTGATGTCCCAACACCTTCTGATGATGCTATTGGTGCTGGGAAGACCATTAAAGGATTCAACTTTAGAGATGAACGGATTATGAATGGGCGGTGGGTACATGAACCTCATTCAGATGTCATACAGAAATTCTTTCGTGTATTGGCACTTTGCCATACGGTAATTCCCAATAAAGACTCAAAATCGAAAGAAGTTTCTTATGAATCTGAATCTCCAGATGAAGCTGCCTTTGTCACTGCAGCAAAGGAGCTTGGTTTTGACTTCGTTAGAAGGACTCAAACCAGCATAGAAATACATGAATTTGATTGTACAACTCATAAAAGAGTTGCCAGGTATTTTTTTGGAATTTGTAACCATTTATGTTTTCTTTTTCCCCACTAGCAGATAGTACCTGTTTAGGTTGTGGAACCTGAAACAGCTGCAATTGGATGGTTTAACAGATTCTGGTGGATTGAATTGCTTATTATAATGCATCTTTTCAATTCTTAAGTTTTTCTAATCTCAGAATTTCTCTATTACAGAGTTTACGAGCTACTTCATGTCTTGGAGTTCAATAGTTCACGCAAAAGAATGTCTGTGATTGTAAGAAATCCAGAGAATCAGCTGTTGCTCCTTTCTAAGGGTGCAGACAGGTTAGAATCCAGATGTTTAGACAAGTAGTTGTAGATTTTTGAGGCTGTGAATGGGTCAGTTGATATGATGTTTTCCTTTATGGCTATGTATTCAGTGTGATGTTTGAAAGGCTTTCAGAACATGGGAGAGAGTTTGAGGCTCATACCAAAGAGCAGATTAGTTGTTATTCTGAGGCAGGTCTACGAACTTTGGTAATTGCATATCGTGAGCTTGGTGAAGATGAGTATGAGAAATGGGAAAAAGAGTTTCTAGAGGCCAAAAATTTTGTCGGTGCAGACCGAGATGCAATGATGCAGGCAGCTGCTGAAAATATAGAAAGGAATTTAGTTCTTCTTGGTGCAACAGCGGTGGAAGACAAATTGCAGAAAGGGGTCAGCATCAAATTTGGAAACCTCTTTTATTTCTTGCAAACATTATTTCTGTATTTTCTAGTCAAATGTTTTGAACCTAAGACCTGCTTTTGTTCTTCATCTGTTCCAAATGCTGTAAGCATCATACTAAACCTGGAGGAGAAACAAATAACCCTAAGCAATAAAATTCAGTGCTCAACTCAATATTTAAATAAGCTGATTTTCTAGTTTTAATTGCTAATGTTTCTTATAAAATTCCCTCTTTTGTTTTTTTTTTTTTTTTTTTTAAAATTCCCTCTTTTGTTTTTTTTTTTTTTTTTAACCAGAAAAGTCTATGTTTCTCTTACATGCAGGTCCCAGAATGTATTAACAAGCTTGCAGGTGCTAGAATTAAAATATGGATCCTAACAGGCGACAAGATGGAAACTGCTATTAATATTGGGTAGTCTGACATATTCAAGGCAAAATGATCAGCTATGCTTTCTGATAGTTTCACAAACATAATTCTTGTGATTATCACATTTTCTGCAGGTATGCTTGCAGCCTACTAAGAGAAAAGATGAAAAAGATAATAATAACTCTAGATTTACCAGAAATTGTGGCTTTGGAGAAGCAAGGGGACAAGCAAGCCATTGCAAAGGTTAGTATATAATTGTAAAATTGATTTTCTAGTCCCTTTTCTTGGAAATTTCTGTAATTATAATAATCATTCTTATTAGGCTTCTCTCGAAAGTGTAAGAGAGCAAATAAAGGAGGGAAAACATCATATTCGTAAAGAAATAGCAGTTGAGTTTGGTTTGATTATTGATGGCAAGTCCTTGACTTTTGCTTTGGACAAGTCAGTGAAGAAGTCATTCTTGAAGCTTGCAATGAATTGTGCTTCTGTTATATGCTGCCGCTCTTCACCCAAGCAAAAAGCCCTTGTAAGTGCATGTTTGAGGATCAGCTTTATCACGAGTGTCACAAAACATCTGTTTCTGAGTTTACTAACATGAAAATAATCTGATAGAAATTTAGAAGATGTGCAGGTCACAAGACTGGTAAAAGTGGAAGCAGATAAAACTACTCTAGCAATCGGCGACGGTGCAAATGATGTTGGCATGCTACAGGAGGCTGATATTGGGGTAGGCATTAGTGGAGTTGAAGGGATGCAGGTAAGATATATATATATATATACATATATATAACTTCCCTTCCCCACGCCCTGGGTTCTTTTTTGGGGTTGGATGGAGTAAGGCGTTTGCATAGTTGCTTTACCTTGAGTTCTTAAAAAATCAAGGCTAAATTACTGTCACTATCTGATTTCTGATTGTACTTCCAACAATCTTGCTTAACTGCAGGCTGTGATGGCGAGTGATTTTGCAATAGCTCAATTTCGGTTTTTGGAGCGTTTATTGTTGGTACACGGCCACTGGTGTTACAGGCGAATAGCGATGATGGTAAAACTTTGCCCTTGTCTTTCTGGTTGATCCTTGTATTCAATATTTCTTCTACTGTTCCCCATTGTTTATGATCCCAATATTTAAACATTTCAAGGCTAGGAAATAGAATGGAAATCCTAGCTTTATATTTCTTTTTCCAAATTGTTTTTTGTTTGTATGGTTTGTTTAAGCTGCTAGTCTTCCCATTTCCTTAGATCAGAGATGGAAGTCTTCCCACTTCAGCCACTTAAGTTTAATAAATTTTATTTTCGTGGTGGATGCAGATATGCTACTTTTTCTACAAGAATATTACATTTGGGTTTACTCTATTTTGGTTTGAGGCCTATGCGTCTTTCTCCGGGCAGCCTGCTTATAATGACTGGTACATGTCTTGCTACAATGTTTTCTTCACATCACTTCCAGTAATTGCTCTTGGCATTTTCGATCAAGATGTTTCTGCACGACTGTGCCTCGAGGTACAAAATCCTTTTAATTCCCTAATAGTTTCAATAAAAATAGTAGACAAATTGGAGGCAAAAGTACTGGAAAAGGAGTGATAATCAGATAGTTACAGAACGTATCTATTTGATAATATATCATCTATGGCAGCATTAAAGTGTTAGAGAAAAATAGTCTTTGTGTTAAGGAAAATATATTGTGAATAGCTACCACATATGGTGCATGCAGGAACAAATATTGACCATTTTTCAATCTTGCTGCTACTTCTGTTTTGCAGTGTCCTTTGTTATACCAAGAAGGTGTGCACAACGTCCTCTTCAAATGGGTCCGTATACTTGGATGGATGTTCAATGGAGTTCTTAGTTCCATAATCATCTTCTTCTTCACTACTAGATCCCTAGCCAGTCAAGCATTCCGTAAAGATGGTAAAGTTGCGGACTATTCAGTCCTTGGTGTCACAATGTATTCATGTGTGGTTTGGGCAGTGAATTGCCAGATGGCACTCTCGATCAATTACTTCACATGGATCCAACACCTCTTCATCTGGGGAAGCATCATCTTCTGGTACATATTCTTGGTGGTCTATGGTTTTCTTCCATCCACCATATCAACTACAGCACACAAGGTTCTGGTGGAAGCTTGTGCTCCAAGCATTCTTTATTGGCTTGTCACTCTCGTCGTTGTTATTTCTGCAACGCTGCCTTATTTTTCCTGTAGGGCCTTTCAGACTAGGTTTTTGCCTATGATACATGATTACATACAAAGGCTACATCTGGATGGCTCAGAACATGAAGTAAACCGTGAGTTGCTGAAGCTTGTAGGATCAAAACTAGACCGCCTTCTGACAAGATCAAGGCAGCGAAAGTCATGAAACCGGCACATATCAGACTCAAAATCAGTAGGCATTTCGGCTTCTGTTAGCAGAAAGTGCACATGCTTCAACTCCTCTTGTAGATTAGTAATGTAAATCTGATTTATCAAGTTATGTTCATTTGTAATGTAATAGTATAAGACTGGGAACTTTACAATCTCCAAAAATATGTATATTTTACACGCGGCTTGTCTAAATTGTGAGTGAAATCTTTGAGATTCAAAAATATATAAGAATTGGGAGTGTAGAACAAAGGTTAGCATTTCTAAGTTATTGAGTTCAAATTGAGAAGCCAAAAGTGACTCAAGTAGCTACCTCAACGTTGTTAAAGGGCTACTCATCTAAAGGTGGGGGATTCAATTTTCACTCTTCCCCTTTCCTCTTTACCCCAACTTAACCGTGTTCAAAAAAACAAAAAAAAAAAAAAAAGTTTTTGAGTTCAAATTACAAAATTTCAAATTTTCATGTTTTAAAAGGTATGTAGCCGTCATCGATTTAAATAAATCAGTGATAAATTTTTTTACTAAAAATAAAAAATATTAAATTTAAATTACATGATATGTAAGTGGAGTAAAATAAAAAATAGAAAAAGTTACTTTTCGCCATCAACATAATAAAAAAAAAAAAGAAAGTATGTGGCCCTTTTTCTGAACATTAATTAGTGATTCTAGTAACGTTGTGGCCTTCTGTTTTTTAAGTACGGTCCCTAGTTGGATGGAGGAAATAGGAAGCAAAGTGAAAAGAGGCCTAATTTTCAAACCTTGGCGTGTACTTGGATTGAATGAAGGAAAAGTAAACGATTTTCTCCCAATTAAATGAAGAAAATAGGACTAAACCTTTTCTGTTTTTCTCATATTTCTCTCACTCTAAAGTCTAAACCAACGTTAGAGTGGTGGGAAAAGTTAAAAAATGAAAGAGATTTGTCTTTTATGGCTTAATTTTTTTGTTCCCTCGAATTGGTTACCTAGTTCAGAAAAAAAAAAAAAAAAAGAGTAGTGGGTTTGAATTCTCTCATCTATTAATAACAATAATAAAAGTATTTTGTAATTTAATTTGCATTAGATTATAAAATATTAATTATTTCATTAAAAATAAATCATTTGGTATTAGTGGAGAATTCTTCATTTAATAATTACTATTTTGTAACTTATACTATAAAATACAACTCCAATAATAATGTGGATAATAATTATTATTATAATATTAGAGATAATTATTTTTTTATCAAAAAATAATAATAAAATTTAACAACTAAAAGTAAAGTGATGGATAATTAAAATTTTATATAAATATAATATATAGAATTTATATGTAAATTAATTTTTGTTTTAATGATGATGATGATGAATGGTGGTGATGATAATGATATTTGGAAGCTAAAGTTATTGCTGACTAGTCGATGGACATGGAATCTTTCCCCAATCCTTTTCAGAAATAAATAGTATTAAGCCTAATTTCTGGATAACAAAGGGAATGATTGGATTTGAGCTAAAGTGATAAGCTCATTTTTTTGGGAAAAATTTACTTTTAATCCTTTATTTTAATAAGTTTATACATTTTAATCCTTTATTTTATACTATGATACTTTTAGTCCCTCACTTATATAAATTGAAGAAAATAATTCTTATTTAACATTAGATTATAACGTTTTGTTAATTCTGTTAATTGACTGTTAATTCTATTAACTAACTGTTAATTTTGTCAATTGATTGTTAACGTTCTGTTAATGAAACTAACAAATTAAATTAAATTTAAATTTTATATTTTTTATAACGGAATGTTAACCATTAATTAACTGTCATTAATTAACAGAGCTAACAGTTAATTAACAGAATTAACAATCAACTAACATAATATTAAATAAGGGTTATTTTCTTCGATTCGTATAGATGAGGGTTAAAAATATCATAATATAAAATGAAAGGTTAAAAAATACAAATTTATTAAAGTGAAAGACTAAAAGTAAATATTTGTCCATTTCTTGGGTGTCACTGTCCTCCAAAACCTTGAACTATTGTAATCCTCAAGGTAATAGTGGGAAACAAGTTTCGTTTTAGGCAGCTGGCAGCATCAAACTCATGTTACATACGTTGAACACGATGAGATTTGGCAAGAAAATCAGTAGACCCATCTAGAAGATATAATTTATTCAATAATTTAGGCAAATTTGGACCCAACAATCTCTAGACCAATTGAATTTTAAGCTCCTAAGTAAAACCACACCCCCAAAAAAAAAAAAAAAAACAATACTTAACATTAAGGTTTACTTCATTGAAGAGAACCTTCCTTCACTAACATGGTCCACCCAATCTTTTTGCCGCCCACCCCCACCCCTCCCCTTTTTCTTTTTTTTTAATGTTTTACTCTTTGCCAACGAGTCTTAGTATTAAAAACCTAATTAACCCTCTTCTTCCAAGTCTTTTTTATCCCAATTTTCTTTTAATTTCTTTTACCAACCCACCCTTTGCTTGTGAATTCTCAGTGGCATTAAATCCCCTTCCTCTTTCTTTTTTCCTCTCGGTTCTACCATCACCTTCCCCAGTTTTCCTTCAGCCTTTCTCGCTTTTGCCTTCTTCTAATTTCGTTTATTTACAAATTTATGATTGGTAGCTTTATTAGAGGTTGTCCTATATTCACTCCCCTTTACACAAAAAAGAAAAAGAAAAAAGAAAAAAGAGGACCTAAAACTTATACTATTTTTCATGTTCTTTTAATTATTTCTCACCACTCATGTTTTTAAGTGAAAATTTTTTATGGTATCTAAATAATAATTTTAAAATTTTAAAATATGTAATTAAAGAAAAAAAATTAAAATGTTACTTAAAAATACATGTAATAACAAGTGAAATAGAGGTGAGGTAATATATTGT